ACTGTGACTGGTGTGGCGGCGATCAGGGACACTGTGACTGGTGTGGCGGCGATCAGGGACACTGTGACCGGTGTGGCGGCGATCAGGGACACTGTGACTGGTGTGGCGGCGATCAGGGACACTGTGACTGGTGTGGCGGCGATCAGGGACACTGTGACTGGTGTGGCGGCGATCAGGGACACTGTGACCGGTGTGGGCGGCGATCAGGGACACTGTGACTGGTGTGGCGGCGATCAGGGACACTGTGACTGGTGTGGCGGCGATCAGGGACACTGTGACCGGTGTGGCGGCGATCAGGGACACTGTGACTGGTGTGGCGGCGATCAGGGACACTGTGACTGGTGTGGCGGCGATCAGGGACACTGTGACTGGTGTGGCGGCGATCAGGGACACTGTGACTGGTGTGGGCGGCGATCAGGGACACTGTGACTGGTGTGGCGGCGATCAGGGACACTGTGACTGGTGTGGCGGCGATCAGGGACACTGTGACTGGTGTGGCGGCGATCAGGGACACTGTGACTGGTGTGGTGGCGATCAGGGACACTGTGACCGGTGGTGTGGGCGGCGATCAGGGACACTGTGACTGGTGTGGCGGCGATCAGGGACACTGTGACTGGTGTGGCGGCGATCAGGGACACTGTGACTGGTGTGGCGGCGATCAGGGACACTGTGACTGGTGTGGCGGCGATCAGGGACACTGTGACTGGTGTGGCGGCGATCAGGGACACTGTGACTGGTGTGTGCGGCGATCAGGGACACTGTGACTGGTGTGGCGGCGATCAGGGACACTGTGACTGGTGTGGGCGGCGATCAGGGACACTGTGACTGGTGTGGCGGCGATCAGGGACACTGTGACTGGTGTGGCGGCGATCAGGGACACTGTGACTGGTGTGGCGGCGATCAAGGACACTGTGACTGGTGGCGGCGATCAGGGACACTGTGACTGGTGTGGCGGCGATCAGGGACACTGTGACTGGTGTGGCGGCGATCAGGGACACTGTGACTGGTGTGGCGGCGATCAGGGACACTGTGAATGGACAGTGGTGATTAGTGACACCGGCTGGCGTGGTATTGAATATGGACACCAGCTGCTGCGGTGGTGATCACGGACACTGTGAGTGATGTGGCAGTGATTATGGACACCGGCTGCTGCGGTGGTGATCAAGGACACTGAGTGGTGTGTGGTGGTGAATATAGACACCGCCTGCTGCGATGGTGATCAGGGACACTGTGAGCGGTGTGTGGCGGTGATTATGGACACTGGCTGCTGTGGTGGTGATCAGGGACACTGTGAGTGGTGTGGCGGTGATTATGGACACTGTGAGTGGCGTGGCGGTGATTATGGACACTGTGAGTGGCGTGGCAGTGATTAGGGACACCGGCTGCTGCGATGGTGATCAGGGACACTGTGAGTGGAGTGGACATGATTATGGACACCGGCCGCTGTGGTGGTGATCAGGGACACTGTGAGTGGAGTGGACATGATTATGGACACTGGCTGCTGCTGTGGTGATCAAGGACACTGTGAGTGGTGTGGCGGTGATTATGAACACCGGCTGCTGCGGTGGTGATCAGGGACACTGTAAGTGGTTTGGCGGTGATTATGGACACCGGCTGCTGCGGTGGTGATCAGGGACACTGTGTGTGTGAGTGGTGTGGCGGTGATTGCGGTGATCAGGGACACTGCGAGTGGTGTGGCGGTGATTATGGACACCGGCTGCTGCTGGTGGTGTGATCAGGGACACTGTGAGTGGTGTGGCGGTGATTGTGGTGATCAGGGACACTGTGAGTGGTGTGGCAGTGATTATGGACACTGGCTGCTGCAGTGGATGGGACACCGTGAGTGGTGGTGTGGTGGTGATTATGGACACTGTGAGTGGTGTGGCGGTATTTATGGACACCGGTTGCGGCGGCGGTGATCAGGGACACTGCGAGTGGTGTGTCAGCTATTATGGACACTGGCTACTGCGGTGGTGATTAGGGACACTGCGAGTGGTGGTGTAGCGGTAGCGATTATGGACACCGGCTGCTGCGATGGTGATCAGGGACACTGCGAGTGGTGTGGCAGGTGATTATGGACACTGGCTGCTGCGGTGTTGATCAGGGACACTGCAAGTGGTGTGGCAGTGATTATGGACACTGGCTGCTGCGGTGTTGATCAGGGACACTGCAAGTGGTGGCAGTGATTATGGACACTGGCTGCTGCAGTGGTGATCAGGGACACTATGAGTGGTGTGGCGGTGATTATGGGGGGGACACCACTCAGTGTCCCTGATCACCACCGCAGCAGCCGGTGTCCACACCAATGCGAGTGGTGTATCGGCTATTATGGACACCGTGAGTGGTGTGGTGGTGATTATGGACACTGTGAGTGGTGGTGTGGCGGTATTTATGGACACCGGTTGCGGCGGCGGTGATCAGGGACACTGCGAGTGGTGTGTCGGCTAGTATGGACACTGGCTGCTGCGGTGGTGATCAGGGACACTGCGAGTGGTGAGGTAGCGATTATGGACACCGGCTGCTGCGATGGTGATCAGGGACACTGCGAGTGGTGTGGCGGTGATTATGAACACCGGCTGCTGCGGTGGTGATCAGGGACACTGCGAGTGGTGTGGCGGTGATTATGGACACCGGCTGCTGCGGTGGTGATCAGGGACACTGTGAGTGGTGTTTCGGCTATTATGGACACCACTGCTGCGGTGGTGATCAGGGACACTGCGAGTGGTGTGGTAATGATTATGGACACCAGCTGCTGCGGTGGTGATCAGGGACACTGTGAGTGGTGTGTTGGCTATTATGGACACCGGCTGCTGCGGTGATCAGGGACACTGTGAATGGTGTGTTGGCTATTATGGACACCGGCTGCTGCGGTGGTGATCAGGGACACTGTGAGTGGTGTGTTGGCTATTATGGACACCGGCTGCTGCGGTGGTGATCAGGGACACTGTGAGTGGTGTGGCGGTGATTATGGACACCGGCTGCTGCGGTGGTGACACAGGTGACACTGTGAGTGGCGGCGGATCATTATGGAAACTGTGACTGGTGTGGCGGCGATCAGGGACACTGTGACTGGTGTGGCAGCGATCAGGGACACTGTGACTGGGTGGCAGCGATCAGGGACACTGTGAGTGGTGTGGCAGCTGTGAATGGACAGTGGTGATTAGTGACACCGGCTGGCGTGGTATTGAATATGGACACCAGCTGCTGCGGTGGTGATCAGGGACACTGCGAGTGGTGTGGTAGGCGATTATGGACACCGGCTGCTGCGGTGGTGATCAAGGACACTGAGTGGTGTGGTGGTTGGTGAATATAGACACCGCCTGCTGCGATGGTGATCAGGGACACTGCAAGTGGTGTGGCAGTGATTATGGACACTGGCTGCTGCGGTGGTGATCAGGGACACTATGGTGGTGTGTGGCGGTGTGCGGTGATTATGGACACCACTCAGTGTCCCTGATCACCACCGCAGCAGCCGGTGTCCACACCAATGCGAGTGGTGTATCGGCTATTATGGACACCGTGAGTGGTGTGGTGGTGATTATGGACACTGTGAGTGGTGTGTGGGCAGTATTTATGGACACCGGTTGCGGCGGCGGGTGATCAGGGACACTGCGAGTGGTGTGTCGGCTATTATGGACACTGGCTGCTGCGGTGGTGATCAGGGACACTGCGAGTGGTGAGGTAGCGATTATGGACACCGGCTGCTGCGATGGTGATCAGGGACACTGCGAGTGGTGTGGCGGTGATTATGGACACCGGCTGCTGCGGTGGTGATCAGGGACACTGCGAGTGGTGTGGCGGTGATTATGGACACCGGCTGCTGCGGTGGTGATCAGGGACACTGTGAGTGGTGTTTCGGCTATTATGGACACCAGCTGCTGCGGTGGTGATCAGGGACACTGCGAGTGGTGTGGTAATGATTATGGACACCAGCTGCTGCGGTGGTGATCAGGGACACTGTGAGAGTGGTGTGTTGGCTATTATGGACACCGGCTGCTGCGGTGATCAGGGACACTGTGAGTGGTGTGTTGGCTATTATGGACACCGGCTGCTGCGGTGGTGATCAGGGACACTGTGAGTGGTGTGGCGGTGATTATGGACACCGGCTGCTGCGGTGGTGATCAGGGACACTGCGAGTGGTGTGGCGGTGATTATGGACACCAGCTGCTGCGGTGGTGATCAGGGACACTGCGAGTGGTGTGGCGGTGATTATGGACACCGGCTGCTGCGGTGGTGATCAGGGACACTGTGAGTGGGTTTCGGCTATTATGGACACCAGCTGCTGCGGTGGTGATCAGGGACACTGCGAGTGGTGTGGTAATGATTATGGACACCAGCTGCTGCGGTGGTGATCAGGGACACTGTGAGTGGTGTGTTGGCTATTATGGACACCGGCTGCTGCGGTGGTGATCAGGGACACTGAGTGGTGTGTTGGCTATTATGGACACCGGCTGCTGCGGTGGTGATCAGGGACACTGTGAGTGGTGTGGCGGTGATTATGGACACCGGCTGCTGCGGTGGTGATCAGGGACACTGCGAGTGGTGGTGGCGGTGATTATGGACACCGGCTGCTGCGGTGGTGATCAGGGACACCGGCTGGTGTGGTGGTGGTGATCAAGGACACCGGCTGCTGCAGTGGTGATGAGGGACACTGACTAAAGTTCCACTTTCAGATACAAAAGCTGCATACTCAGCAAATCAGTTGCTTTAAAAACTGGAAATTGAATATTACTTGTAAAAGTACATGAAGAGTCCTGCAGGAGGCTGGATATATACAGACAGTATAAATAATATAGAACACACAGAGTTCACAATGAGCTCCGAGGTACCACATCCCCTGCATACTGCCAGCCCTATACACACAGCTGTACGCCCCATCACTCCTCCCAGCAGTCAGTGAGAGCGCACAACAGCAGGATAGACAGTACATAAGGCGGCCGCTCTGGGTGAACTCTATGGTAATCCGCCTGCGGGCGCTCTTTGCTCCGGTCCTCTCTCACCTGACCTCTCCGTGGCTGTAGCCGATCTTTGCGGTGTAGGCCCCATTATCTAGCACCAAGGTGGTCATCCCGGGCCTGGAAACCCCGCATACAGTGTACGGATCATCCGGGAATTTTGTGACGTGTGCCGTACGAGTCTGGCGCCGCTCTCCCCGCTGCATTGTGGGAAATGGGAGGACTGCGATCACCTCCCCGGGTATAGATAGTCTGAGAGCGGCTGCCTGTTCCTTTGACTGTACGGCCGTAAAGTGAGACGCTGAAGTAGAGGGCCGATCAGGTTACAGAGCGCATCTGCCTGATAGCAGTGGGAGAGGCAGACAACAGCGCTCTATGGACTGCTGTCATAGGGCCAGAGTATTGGGAAGTGATGGAGAGTAGAATGTACACACATGTGACAGCTGTCATCAGAAGGATGACACATTATCTGTAGGAGCATGTGAGAACTTCCCTCATAAATGTACTCATAGCTTCCATCTGACAAATGCAAGTGTTATCAAGATTAAAAAATATATATTTACAGCTCACTTTTTCCTTTTAACCCTTTCACAGCCAGAGCCGGTTCTGCGTTTTTTTGCACACCTTTTGAAAAAATAGTTTTAAATAAACCCCCCAAACATTATATATTTCCTTAGACAAGACACCCTAGAGAATATAATACTGGTAGTTCCAATTTTTATGTCACATGATATTAGCTTAACTGTTTATGAAACAGTATTTCAGTAAAAACAACACACTAAAGTTAATGTTAGGCTATAAAAAAGCAATGTATTATCTAATTTTTGGTAAAATATAAAAGAGGAGGTTTGGTCAAGTAAAGAGATACCCAACATGTCAGGGCTTAAAATTGCACAAACTAATTATGAAACAGTGGCAAACGTCAGTATCCTGTATACACTGCTCACAAAAAGTAAAGGGACACTTTTTAATCAGAGTATAGCATCAAATCAATGAAACTCCTGGGATATTGACCTGGTCAGTTCAGTAGCAGAGGGGGTTGTTAATCAGTTTCAGCTGCTTTGGTGTTATAATTAACAACAGGTGCACTAGATGTGCAACAATGAGAAAACCCCCAAAACTGGAATTGTTTTACAGATGGAGGCCACTGACAGTTTTTTCCCTACTCATCTTTTCTGGCTGTTTTTCACTAGCTTTGCATTTGGCTAGGGTCAGTGTCACTACTGGTAGCATGAGGAGATACCTGGACCCTACAGAGGTTGCACAGACAGTCCAACTTCTCCAGGATGGCACATCAATACAAGCCATTGCCAGAAGGTATGCTGTGTCTTCCAGCACAGTCTGAAGAGCATGGAGGAGATTCCAGGAGACAGGCAGTTACTGTAGGAGATCTGGACAGGGCCGTAGAAGGTCCTTAACCCATCAACAGGACCAATATCTGCTCCTTTGTGCAAGGAGGAACAGGATGAGCACTGCCAGAGCCCTACAAAATGATCTCCAGCAGGCCACTGGGGTGACTGTCTCTGAGCAATCAGAAACAGACTTCATGAGGGTGGTCTGAGGGCCCAACGTCCTCTAGTGGGCCCTGTGCTCACTGCCCGGTACCATATAGCTCGATTGGCATTTGCCATTGAACACCAGAATTGTCAGGTCCACCACTGGCACCCTGTGCTTTTCACAGATGAAAGCAGGTTCACCCTGAGCATGTGACAGATGTGAAAGGGTCTGGAGAAGCTGTGGAGAACATAATGCTGCCTGTAGCATTGTTCAGCATGACCGTTTGGTGGTGGGTCAGTGATGGTCTGGGGAGGCATATCCATGGAGGGATGCACAGACCTCTACAGGCTAGCAATGGCACCCAGATTGCCATTAGGTATCGGGATAAACTCCTTGGACCCATTGTCAGACCCTACGCTGGTGCAGTGGGTCCTGGGCTCCTCCTGGTACACGACAGTGCCTGGCCTCATGTGGTGAGAGTATGCAGGCAGTTCCTGGAGGATGAAGGGATTGATACCTCTGAATGCCCCCACAGTCGTCTGACCTAAATCCAGTAGAACACCTCTGGGATATCATGTATGGTTCCATCCAACGCTGCCAGGTTGCACCTCAGACTCCAGGAGCTCAGTGATGCCCTGGTCCAGATCTGGGAGGAAATACTCCAGAACACCATTCGTCGTCTCATTAGGAGCATGCCCCGACGTCAGGCATGCATACAAGCGCGTGGGGGCCATACAAACTACTGAGTACCATTTTGAGTTGCTGCAATGAAATTTCAGCAAAATGGACTAGCCTGCTGCATCATTTTTTCACTTTGATTTTCGGGGTGTCTTTGAATTCAGTTCTCTGTAGGTTGATATTTTCATCAAACGGTGGGGCATCCTTACATTCCTAACACATTACCCAGTCCATATCAGTATAGATATCCAGCATGATATTTTTCCCCATTGAGATCTGATATGTTTTCAAAGTGTTCCTTTAATTTTTTGGAGCAGTGTATTTCATAGATGATGCTTCAGTTCTTTCGTTTTTTTTTTGTGCATGTTTAAAAAATTGGGGGCCTTAAGATTGCATAAACCCCAAAAAATTATATATATTGTGAAAGCAGACAACATAGAGAAAAAAATGGTGGTAGTTCCAATTTTTTTTTATGTTACACGATAATACCACAAAGGTCCAGGAAATGCAAAATGTCAGTAAAAAATACACTGAAGTTAATCCTAGGGCACACCAACACAATAAATGACCCAATTTTTTGGTAAAATATTAGGTTGCATCAAGTAAATAGATATGAAACTTGTACATGTGAAACTTTAAAGTGACACTAATGCAGGCCATAGATGGGTCGAAAACTGGCCGTTTAAAAAAAAAAAAAAACGGTTGTTCAATAGGCCGACGTTACCACCAACGGTAAAAAAAAAAATCGGCTGATTTTCGTCCCGTCTACAGCCGGCATTTAATTACTTCTGTCCCTGCAGAGAGCTCCGCTATTATATTTGACATAAAAAGTCTTGTGGTTGCAACATTGTATCTATTTGTATCCATTTTGGATACAGATTTTTTTTATTTGGATACAAATAGATACATTTTTTGCAACCGCAATACTTTTCATGTAAAATATAATAGAGGACTGGAATTCTTATTCCTCTTCTTTTTCTTCTTCTTGCAGGTCACGGCTCATGCGCAGATTTTTTATCGGTAAAAAGATCGGCCGATTTGCCCATCATTGCCGGGTATTGCGATTTGCCCATCATTGCCGACCAATTGACCCACTAACGGTGCGAAAATCGGCTGATTTTTTTTTTTCGGCCGAAAAATTGGCCAATTTTCGACCTGTCTATGGCCTGCATTAGGCTTCATGTACACTGCAGCTGATAAACTCACGTTTAGGAGCTTTTCTTCGTTTTTTCAGCAGCCCCTGAACTCTCCCTAATGTTTTCCTATGTGTCCATGTACACTATGTTGTTTACAGGCAGTTGAGTTGCGTTCAGGAGTAGATTTTATCAGCGTTTCAAACGCCAAACATTTGTAAACGCGGCTAACTGCGTTTGTAAGAGTTTGGAAATTTTTTTTTTAACTCTTCCATTTCCAGATGCTGTCCAGGGCCTTTTTTCATCATGAAAAATGCATGCAAAGCATTTTTCCAGTACTCAAATGGATCTGGTACACCATACATTAAGGTTTTGCATGAAAGAAAATATGTTAGACACAGCTGCAATAATTTCTGCATAGAAATGAGCTGAAACACATCCAAACACCACAAAAAAAAGACAGCTAATCTCAACAAATACTGCTCTCTCTGCTTCTGCTCTTTTTCTCTCAAAATGTCTGAAATAGTTAATTATTTTACTGTTTTTTCAGTGCATTCTGGGCATTTGGGAGCAGGGGCGGACTGACAACTCATGGGGCCCCCAGGCAATAGGGGATCATGGGGCCCCTGTGTCCTTGCTCAACTTCAAAAAAGCCTATGAAAAAGGTACTAGGGGCATCTCATGGGGCCCCCTACTGACCCACGGGCCCTCGGGCAGTGCCCGAGTTTCCCACGAAATGGTCAGTCCGCCCCTGTTTTGGGAGGATCTCCTGAGGTTATCTTTTAAAAACGCTTCTAAACGCAAACACATAAATGCGGCTAAACTGACATTTTTTAACCTATGGTTTTCAGCAGTCAGTTTCCATCATTCAGAAGAGCTTTCCAAATGCCTCATGTACATGAGCCCTTACGAGACGGTCCTGATGCTTGCTGGACTTCCCTCAGCACCATGAAGCCTTCATCACAATTGAACCTCTCTTCTTGAAGTTCTTAATGATGATTGCATGTGTTTCCTTGCATGTAAATTAATATTTGTGTCATCCTCAAATCCTTTGGGCAAGGCTGTACATGTGTTAAAATGCATATATATTTAATTTTAGCTCAATGCAGTGTTATGGTGTAAATAGCAGACAGTGGAAATGACTGTTTTTGCAATGTCCTTCCATCCATTTCACAGCAGATCGAGGTACTGAGGTGTATTTGGCACTATTGTATGTCTCTTCTGCAATACAAAGCCTGCCTGCTCACACCTGCAGTTCTATTTTAAGAACACATACTTGATTTAAACTGATTCTATTCTTACCCCTTTGAGGACCAAGGGACGTATTTGTCCCATGTTTATTTAATTGCCTGTATCATCTGAATAAGAACTTTAAATACTTTTTTTTTTTTTTTTGGTTTGAGTCAAAAATATTAGCTCTTATCAGGGCTTTTTTTCTCAGAGGAAAGGTGGTGGAACTCCCCCACCCAAACCTGGCCACGCCCCCATCAAAACCCTAGAACCACCCCTTTAGAGAACAGGAATGCAAGTAAAATTTGGAGGGGCTATAAAAGTAAATGTATGGAATTAACACCGCCCCCCCCCCCACATTAGTAAGAATAGCGAGTAACACTGCCCCCCCCCACATTAGCAAGAAAAGCGAGAAAAATTGTATCGCCGCTCCTTACCTGATGCTGACGATCCGCGCTATGGTAGGATCGACGAGCAGAGGGCGTGATGACGTCAGCGCGCACCGCCGGTGTACTAAGATACACCTTTCCTATGGGGGTGGCCGCGCGCCCCCACCATGTTTCATACACGCTGGC